TAATAATTACATAAAAATAAATATTAACTTATATTATATAAAATTAAATAAAAATATTTTAAAATTATATTATTTTAATAAAATTTATTTTAAAAAATTAAAACAACTTCTCCTTAGCTTTTCTTTTACTACTTGTTGTCTTCAAAATCTCCCTTTTCGGTCGCGTGGCAGGTAAGACTGTGAAGGCGTACCACTCACTTTACTCAAAGTGAGAAAGAGGGATTCCCGGTGATCATCACTACTTTCAAGCGTGGAACCCGACTGCGAGTCAATGAAAGAACACCAGTTAAATAAATTATGAGATGCGCTCTGATTAGACAATTGTCGCAAAAACAGGGGTGCATTCCTACATAAAGGTCCATAAATAATTGCCCTGAAAGAACATAAGGGGCTTTCCACAACTAGGGCCAAAATGTTAGTTTGTTGATCAAAATAAAAGAGAAAAATAAAGGGAAAGAGAAAAAAGAGAGTGCATGGCAGGAAAACTAAATTGTAGAAAGGAAGCGTGATGCTGCTGCGAAAGCATGAAAATGTAGAAAATAAAATAAAAACTGAAGTATAAAACTAAAGTTAAAAGAAACTAAGAAGATGAATTTTGGGCAAAAGTGCACTAAATTGAATTGTAAAAAACTAAATACATCAAATAGAGATGTTTACAATGAAATAACAAAAACAAGAGTTAAAACTAATGACAGCGTAGAGTTAAAGACTTAACTAGGAAAGTTGTTTAAGAAAGTTGAATCTAAACTAAAACATTGCTTGTAAAACTAAAATGTAGATAGCGCTGGACTAGTTGTGTGAGAGGCTGGTCTTTTTGCTTCATTTCTTCTTTGCATATTTATAGTAGTAAACACCCCTTGGCAGCATGCTTGAAAATTTGTGGCAGCAACTTGACAATCAATAGCAACATGAAATCTGAAACAAACTGATTATTCTGTTGATGCTGTCAATTATTTTCCTGGAAGTTTGCAACAAGTTAACGACTTTACTGTAGTTGTGAAAATAACCACTTAACTTTATCCAAAGATATTTACTTCAACAACTTTCAACTAATGAAATTATTACCAATTGAATGACACGTGACACCATCATATTTTTGTAAAAATAGATGTAAACACTACTTTTCAAGGAAAATTTCCCAACGCTAAAGCAATTATGTTGAACTAATGCAATCATGTCTCTCAATTGCCTATTTTCAAAAGAAATGCAATCATGTTTCTCTGATATTTTCCATGTGCATTTTCTGACTTTTTCTTTCTCACCCAGTAGTGCTTCTCTTTTCCTGCTTTCTATCTCTCTCGTGTGAATATCTGAGGAACTGTTACACTTCAATTAAGTTTTGGACCTTTCGGCGAGCAATAATTGACAGCAATGAACGAAATTTCTTTAAAAGTTCCAGTCTTTACTTTTTTTTTTCATTCCAGATTAAAATAATTTTCTTTACCCCATTTTTCTGTCTCCTATTTTGCTCTTTTTCTTTCTTTTCTTTACTGATACCAGTATTATTTCTTTCTTCTTTCATTGTTGCTATAAAAATATGGAAAAAGACTAATGGCAAACAAAAACTTAAAAAAAAAAAGTTTATATCCATATCCATAATAAAAAATAAGACAAAATAAAAGGTATAATAATTACATAAAAATGAATTTCAACTTATATTGTATAAAATTAAATAAAAATTTTAAAATTATACTATTTTAATAAAATTCATTTAAAAAAATTAAAATATTCTAATTTTAAATCTTCTCCTTAGCTTTTCTTT